AAACCATTAGACAAACCACATCATCAAACTTTTGATGCCATTGTTTTGCTGTTTGTTGCAAGCCATACGATGATTTCTTCAACTTGCACACTTTGTTTTCATTTCTAGGCATCACAAACCTTCAAGTTGGTTCATGTAAATCTACTCACCCAATTCACCATTTAAGAATGCGTATTTCATATCCATTTGGTGAATTATAAGATTTTTTATACTAAAAACAATCTTATAGTGGAAATCCTAGCAACATGGGCAAAGGAATGAAAAAAGTCATTACCTTCTTTTTGACTAAACCCGTGGATAACTAATATGGCTTTCTATTTATCTATGGTGCCATCCACTTTCACGTTTCTTTTGAGCATCCATTTACATTATAATGCTTTCATCCAGGAGGCAAATCAGACAATACCCATGATAGAATCAATTTTATCATGGATTGATTCTTTCCAAAAAGCAACATCCCTAGATGCCATAGATTCGCTAAAAGTATTTGGATCATCCTCAATAATAAAATAATATTGATCTTGAGACACAGTCGTATCCCTTGTTCCTTTAAATAAATAAAATTGAAAATAAGATCCAACAGACATCTTTAGCTTGCATTGACTTCTTACTGGAATATTTATAAATCATATCCCTTGGTCTAGGTATAAATGTAAATATCTATTAATCAAATATAACATCTCTTAATTCTATAACAGTTTTCACAGACACAAAGTCATTAGATTCTATAAGATATAATCTAAATGCTGTGGAATCCTCAACATTCCTAATAAAGATACAATCTATACTTTTCTCACCCAAGTTTTTTCCTTTTGGTTTCAATGAGTATTACAACTACTCTACAACCCCAAACTTTAAGATAACTCAAATTTGGTACATTTTATACCAAAGTTCATGATGAGTATTTTTACTCCTTTTGTTTGGAGTTTTATTTAATATATAACAGACTGTCAACATAGTCTCACCCCGAAATTCGTTACCCAGACCATAATAAGTTAACATAGAACTAACAATTTCCTTTAAAGTCGTATTCTTCCTTTCAGCCACACCATTTTGCTATAGTGTGTTAAGAGCCATGGTTTGATGTATTATACCAGTAGATTCGAAATAGATCGTATCATAATACCCATCACATCTGTTAATACACAAAACTTTTATCAAATCATTTTTATGTAGCTCTACTTCTCGTTTATAAATTTTAAATTTATAAAAAGCTTCATCTTTTTAATGCAACAAATAGACATATCAATGTCTAGATGCATCAAAAATAAAATTAATGACATACTTTTTATTTCCTAGTGAAAAAGTAGCATGAAAATCACATAAATCTCTATATATGAGTTCTAACACATTGCTTTCTCTGTTAACATCCTTAAAAGTATGTCTAGTGAGTTTTGTTAATATGCAAGTTTTAGACTCTTCATTATTCATTTAAAAAACATGTATTAAACTCATTTTTTACATATCTTTTAATCTTTTATAATGAACATGTCCTAGTCTATAATGCCATAAATATGATTTACTTAAGTTGTTGTTAGTATTAGTTTTATTCATGAAAATCGAATGATTATAAGAAGTATAATTTAGATTCAACCTAAGCATGCCATTGCATACATAACTAAATCCAACAAAAGTACCATTTCTTGACAGGATATACTTGTCACTTTCCAACACTTGTTTGTAGCCACACTTATTTAACACAGTTTCAGATAAGTGATTTTTTCCAATCCATGGTAGATACAACCAACACATTGTCTAAACATAAACATTTTCTAGAAGTAAAATTAAGTAAAACATGCCCCAATCCTTTGATTGGTTAAATTGCAACATTTCCCATCTTCACAACAGATCAACCTTTAGTTGGTTGACAATCTTTAAACCAACGAAAAATCTTTGCAAACATGACTTGTTGCATCAAAATCAACCAACCAAGCAACATTATTATCCTTCAGTTGGTTGACAATCTTTAAACCAATGAAGATTTATCATCTCCACTTTTGTACTTCTTTTTGTTTTTAAACTTGTTGGAATTCTTTGATCCACCGCCTTCCCCCATATTCACAAAAGAAGAGCCAACTTGATTCATACAGTGACTCAAAGACTTTAGGATTATTGTCAAATTCTTGAGTACTCAAAGACTCTTCAATCCTACAGTGACTTCCTAGTTAAACAAAAGTTAACTCTTCCTTGATATGTTTCAGAGTATTTTTGAACTCTTTCCAGGAAGGAGACAATTTATCTATAATGACGACAACCGAGATGACTTCATCCGTCTTCAGATTATGCTGGACAAACTATCTAGAATCTTCAATAATTGTGATATTGTTCCATGACAAGCCTGATATCAACCATCTTGTAATTTATAAAATTACTAACCATAAACTTTTTACTATAAGTATCTTCTATCATATACTTAGATTCTATTGAATCCCATGTTCCTTTGCAGATTCAACATTTTGTTAAACATCAAATAGAAAGTGATACATACAGTTTAACATGTGGCAAGGACATATGTAGTAATCCCACTTCAATATCCTCTAAGACACTTCCAACGTTTCATCTTCAGCGTCTCCATACATATGGGTACTTTCAGATTGAAATATTTTGATAGTACAATCGAAATTTTGAATCGGATAAAGCTCCGTGTTTCATGAGCAAAGAATGATGAAGGTTATGATTTGTGTACCAAATTCGAAATGACCAAAAAACTGAAACATAACCAATATCTGAAAACTGACAAAACTGTCATATAGCAGTTTCGTAACCACCAATTAACTTCCATAAAACCTGGTCTACATGTAGGGTAAAAAAATAGTGTTTGAGACACAATTAACTCCCATAAAACTAGCTTGATCCTAGCAAAGGGCTCTACCCCTTGGACCTCGCCAGGGGTTGCCACCCCTTGCACCCTGCTGCCCCCGGACACCCGCGGTTCAGGGGTTTCGCCCCTAAATAACAGTGTAGTTTAAATATGAATAAATCAAACAAATATGCACTCCGCACCACCCTTACTTGTTCAATGTTTATCAAGATTACATTGATCAATATGTTCATCCCATTACACTTAAATAATATTGGTGATATAAATCAACAACAACATTCATGTGTCTTTGTGCACAACTGTTTGATGGAACTATGTCCATCGACATCAAAAGTTTAAGACCAAGTTCAACTGAACGTTATATACAAGTATTTGAGTTTCAAGTGGTTGATGAAGAGGAGATTTAGATCCTAACTGATACTATGTATTCAATAGCTTTATCCTCATTTTAGCGTCCTAAATAAGGAAAATAATTGATGGAGGGTGCCAAGAAAAAATAGTAGGTGTATAGGAAATAATAACTCACATCACAACAAAACCCAAGTTGCAAATTGCATTTGTTTTACAATGATCGCTATAGACAATGTTAGACGCTAAAAGCCATAACTATGTGTTAATTGGGTTACAATGATCGGAAGTGGTAAAGGCCTCATGTAGTAGTTTGATGACCTTGTTCTTTTGTTGGGAATCTAGTACTGAATGAGGATTATTATATGTTTTGTTTTCTAGGTTTTCTTTTGAACTTACTAGTTTGAACATGAATAATGATATGCTTATGTTATGGTCTTTTATGTTATTAATGGTTAATGTCTTTTATGTTATTTGTAATTGGTTATGGATCTTTAGAATATTTGTATATTTGACATGTCATCAACGATGAGTACTCCATGGTATCGACCTCCGTTTTGGTGTGGTATTGTATGAGAATTCTGATTCTATTATAAAACTATTCATAATGGTCTAAATAAGTACCAAGGAAATCATATTTGGGTATGAAATGCAATCAAGGGTTCATGTGATATGGTGAAGTTTAATCAAGAATTGATGTTATATGAATGATTTACAATCAAGAGTGAAAATGGTTATAATATATGCAGTTCATTTAGGCCGAAAATATAATATATTAATACTAATTACTTCTTTTATCATTGAGGTTCAAACTATAACTTAAACAAGGAATGTATAATATAGAGCAAAATAGAGATGTTTGAAGTGACTGAAATGCTCATGCAATGGTTAAAGTAGGAGCTCATGTATGAGGAAAATTGGTATATGTTGAGTGTTAGGATCTAAACACCTGTCATTTATGTAATTTATCTTTGGGATACACTAGCATATTTTTTATGAAACAAACGACTAACAGTATTTTATTGGTAAAAACGTTGATCTTTATATAATTTATTTATTTTTATACAATAACTACAGTTATTTATCTATTTACTACACTACTTTATTACATAGAAAATATAAACTTTTTACTGGATAATGTTGTAAAAAAACTTGTAAATTATATGCATTTTATGTTATAAGGGTATATTTTCATTGTCAATTAATAAAATACAAACCATTAATTCGTCTCTTCTAATCTATCAAAGAGCATGGATTAATGAATTATTTCATTCCAAGATAGTGATTTATGGTAATTAAAATAACTTGGACTAACTGGGAAGATTGAAAGACATAATGCAAGATGAAATTGCATGAGTTGAAGCATGCACATATAAAAGATCATAAAACGCATAAACATAGACTCCATTAACAAGTTAAAATCACTGGAGATTGGTTTATAGCATACCTCAAGATACGAATTCAAGATTTGCATGATGACAGAGTGATCCCTCCACAAAAACTCGCGACTATCATGTACAGGAATATAAATGCCAAGAATGTCAGCAAAGCCCTGTGACGAATCATCATACTTGTCTAAGTAAGATTATCATTTTTTTTTAATTAAGATGACGAGTTAGCCTACTGCAAAATGTATAAGAATAATCACAAGAAACAAGTTTTGTAAATATATGGGCATCAGATTACTTACAGAAGTTTAACATTTTTCATCCAAAGAGCTCTATGAAGTCTCTGCGATTGTTTCTTGAACTGGAAAGCACTATCTTGCATTGTAGCAGTTTTGTCAACAAGAAGTTCAAGCCGATTACCTCTTTCTAATATATTTTCAATACTATTCACCATAATGGTGTGCACCTGTACATACATACATATGAACATGTTATATATAATTCAAATGTACGTCTAAACAAATAAGAGCAAAAGAATCCTTAGTGTGGTATTAACCAATGAAAATAAAAAGAATAATTTGCCTCACCAACTTCATTCCTAACACGGTTGAGTGTATCTGCACTGGGATTACTCGAGAAAAACTCCATTTGCTGATGCAAGACCCTTGAAAATTCATCATTCATAGCATAAGCCGGAGCATGTGGTGCCACTTTACCATAATTTTTCATGAACCTCATCTCAATGTCTTCCAGGTATGAAAATGGGATTCTTCCTGGATGAAATCACATATCAATACATATACAATTTCAACTGAATTGCAAAATCAAGTTATAACTCATAAGTAGCCAGCCATTCATGGTAACTTTTGTACTAGATGAATCAACAACTAGGAATTTAGCAAGTAATAGAACATGCAAAGAGGAAGAGGAGGGAGACTGATGTCCGAGTGTGTCATTGGCCATACAAAGAAAGGTGAGAGAGTCGGATCGGAGTATATGGAAGATGTAATGATCTTGGGAGAAGCAAAGCCTGGACTCGGCCTCCGCCGGCAACTTCTCCAAAATCCGGCGGACAATGGCTCCGGTGTTACCCGTCACAGCGCTGAACTCCGACAACACCGTCATGCCCCTGGCAACCAGAGCGTACAGAATCGCCATTGATTTTTGCAACTTTCACGATTTCTCCCTCAAATTACACGTTTACGCCTACTGTACAAGAAAATATTATCCACTTCGTGTTCTCAATGATCAGGCAAGGAGAGATAGAGTATTTGCCGCACCGTAAATGTGTTGTTTGTTCGTGGATTTGGCCGCAGGTTGCCTACGATAGGCATCGTTTATTCGCGTACAGACTACATAACATAAGAAATACTACATAACAAATTTAATCACCGCTAATCCTAGGTTAATTTAGGGCTAAGGGTGGTGTGAGTTCAATTAGGGGCAACTAGTTTGATTATAATACGACACATTTAATTATGGTGTCTTACCCTATCAACTATTTTATTTGGGAAAACGACTTAAAAAGGTAATGAAGTATCAAAATTTATAAAAATGATCATTGTTTTTATTTTAGTACAAAAAATACCAGGTTACCGACTATTGTAGGTTACCCGGTTGTTTTTTATTTACGAGGAAAATAAGATATATTTGGAATAATTCGTGGCTTTCGCCTTCTTTATTTCACCCAAATTGAAACGACCTAGGACTTTCCCCTGCCACCATGTTTGAGAAGAATGAATCTCCATGGTTGTAAGCAAAGATCCAACTGCAACAAGATGCGTGTCTCTACCCACTGTCATGAAATCTGTCATTAAAGAGTATGCTTGATCACCAGTGAGCTTTGATTGATTTCAAAAGCGGGATTGCAGGAGCCTTCAAGCAATCCTCCAATAGATCACCGAGACCTTCCATCTTCACACCTATTTTCGATTACAGGTATGGCCCTTGACCCACCTCTTCACCCTTCTTGATTCGATCACCGCCCTTCCTCTCCTTTCTTTTTCGTGTTTTCTGCATGTTTAAAGGGTGAAGAGGACGATGTATAGGGTCTAGAAATTTGGAGATGAATTTGTGGGTTTAAGGCTCAATAACTTGTGGGTGCTCTGTAATTGGGGTGACAGGGGATGGCAACAGTGGAGAGGGAATGGTGTCGATGGTGGTTGTAATCGAGGTGGGTTAAAGGGTGTGCTTGTGATGGAGAAATAAGGGGAGTTTTATAGTGATTGAAGGTTGTAAAGGTTATGGGGTTGACTGTGGGAATCGTGGATGGAAAGTGGTGGTGTTCGGTGGTTCAGGTGGTTCAGGTAGGGTGAAGAAAATGATGAAAGTGTGTGAATGAAGGTTGCCTTGCAAGTAAATGGTAGGGGATGATTGTGGGGCGTTTGGTGATAGTGTAAAGTTGATTATGGTGGATGATAATGGAGGTATAAGGGTGGTATTCGGTGAAGGTGGTGGAATAAGGTGATGGATTGATGGTGGTAGACCATTACCTTGAATAACCGGTTACCATGAGGTTAAATAAGAACAAAATAAAAAGTTGAATGATATTTTTTGTACAAAATCTTAGTTCATTGGTATTTTTTTGTACTAAAATAACAATAATGGTCTTTTTTGTATAATTTTGATACTTTTTTACCATTTTAAGTAATTTCCCCTTTTTATTTTTGTTTGGTCCGTGTCTTATTCGCATGTTCTGGGTTTAGACCTTGTAAAAATATGTCGTGTTGTGCTATATTAAAACATTAAATTTGCTGACCAAAAGGCCTTTGGCCTAGCAGAATGAAGGAGTTGGAAACATATCCCTATCCTAAGGGGTTGAACATTCAAATGTCGGTGTAGACAATGAAGTAGTTTAGGAACAAGATTTAGTGGGTGTGTTAGCCGTTCAAAAAATAAATAAATAAATATGTTGAAAGTGTAAAAGTTAGAGATGTAGGAGTAAAAAGTAAAAAGGGAAAATGACGTAACAGCCCTAATATGTATTACGACTTTACCCTAAGTCCCTAAAGTTTTTTTCATGCCTTTTAAGTGGTTTTTGTCGGGTCGATTGGTCACTTTGGACAAAATGAAGGGGTAACCCGGTTACCCCTTTGCCACATAGACCTTGACCCATTTTCCTTTAACATTGACTTTGAAAAGTAAAAAAAATCCTCCTTTCTCCTTTTATTTATCTCTCAGTTCTTTTTCACTCTAAAGTTCTCAAAATGTTCAAATCAGTAAACAAATGAAAATAGAATCATGCAAATTGATTTTTCTTTACTTTAGCGGTTACCTCGGATACGACTCGTAGTAATCTGATAATTGAAGAGACATCCAACCAACACGTGAACCAAAAACTAAAAGGGTTAATGTCCTAGAAAGGTAACGAACTTTGGTCTTTGTCCACATTTAGGTAACCATGTTTTTTTCGTTCATATTTGACCATTGAACTTGTTTGACCTGTTCAAAATAGGGTAATATGACCGGTAATTAGCGGTAACATTACCCTATTATGAACAGGTCAAACAAGTTTACTGGTCAAATGTGTACGAAAAAAACATGGTTACCTAAATTTGGACAAAAACCAAAGTTCCTTACCTATTTTGGTAATATTGGGTTCTTTATGTTAATGGCAAGTAGTCATAGGATCCATTGATGTGAAATAAAATTGGGTTGTTCGGTCTTGTGTATGATGAGATGGTTAAGTCTTGGGTCAACCCAGCTTAGGCCCAGCTAGTTAGGGGGTTAGGTTGTATACGCTTAAGGGGCTAGGTTGTATGTGTTTTAAAGACCAAGCAACACAACTTAGCCCATGACTAGCCGAGCCTAAACTGGGTTAGACCAAGCCTAACCTAATTGTTCATTGACTGTCGGAGCCTAATCCCAGGGCACACAGTCCCTAAGACGGTTCTTGTCCAATATTACCAAAACGGGTAAGAAACTTTGGTTTTTGTCCGTATTTAGGTAACCATGTTTTTTCGCACACATTAGACCAATAAACTTGTTTGACCTCTTCATTATAGGGTAATAGTACCGTAATTACCGGTCATATTACCCTATTTTGAACAGGTCAAACAAGTTCAATGGTCTAATGTGAACGAAAAAAACATGGTTACCTAAATATGGACAAAGACAAAAGTTCGTTACCTTTCTAGGTCATTAACCCAAACTAAAATTATGTATCACAAATGGAAACACCATTATCGCTTTTCTTTCCATTCCATATCATTGATTCCATTTCCAATCCACAAAATTACTCTAATATTTCCAAGGTAATCTATGTTTTGCTTGAAGATCAATATTATTTTTCATGTTAATTTTACGGATTGATCAAATCATCAAAGCCCCATACTATCAAATCTTTTTTTGAATTTTCTTTTTTAAAAAACTGAATTCGTTTCCCTACAATACCATTCGTAGATCTATTCAACTTAGATTAATGGATTGGTGGAAGTTTGAATAATGACTGGTTTACAATTTTGGGAGGAGAAACATAGGTACGATTGACTTGCGATATTCTTGAGGTTTCGAATCGATCACACAAATCCCTGATCCATGAATAAGGAACAGTGTTAACGTTGTTATTACCGTTATTCAGATTACTTGATACAATAACTACATCCATTTCAATGGTGTAACCAAAGAAGATAATCATAGACACCGATCCGGGCATTGGTAAGTTCTTCTTTCAGGAGTCTATGGATTACTATCATCATCATCATCATCATCATCACCATCTTGTTAAATTTAAGCTTTTCCCCTTTACTATTCGAATTTTGAGTTTATGCACTTTACCTACAAACTAAGAACACCATCTAATTGGGTTTTGGAATCAGTATACTTCTTGATTGAACCGAGTTGATTTTTGATGATGGATTATTGATATCATGGGAGAAGGACATTCGTGGCCTTAGAGGAACTTGGGAAGCATAGCAGACATCAACAACCATTTGAAGGATGGGTTTTTGAATAGAGAGATGTTGTAAGAAGGAAGAATGGTTGACTTTTTTAATTAATTAAAAACCATCCAACACATGAAACTGGTAATGGTAGTTTATAGGGACTAAAAAGATAGGTCACTTTTACATTTTATTCCTTTATAAAGCGTGAAAAATACTTAAGGGACTAAATGAGTAAATGTGAAAACATCATAGGGTTGTTGAATCATTTTCCCAAATAAAAAATAGGAAAAAGTAGTAGTTTGGAAGATCAAGAATATATATATATATATATATATATATATATATATATATATATATATATATATATATATATATATATCATAAAGCATATTAGTTATATCATTAAATTTAAGAGGTATAAATTATAAAGTTTTTTGTACAAATTAATTATTCATGCATACTTCATTAAGAGTTGCCGAAAGTTTGAAGACTTGAATTAAGGAAGATTATTAAGAAATTCAAATTTAGAGCAAAATGAAAATTTTAAAATATTAAATTCATTAAATATAAATTAATTTACATTTCTTAAACTAGATACTAATATTAATTAATTTACATCAATAGTACAAATAGACAATATAAATATAAGATATAAACATAAATATTTTATTTAAAAGTGGTATGTAACATCCGAGTTCTCAGGTATTAAAAATATTAATTTAATTTTAATTGCAATTGGAAGAGGCTCACGATGTGAGCCATAGTGGTCACGTCGTGAGTATGACCCTTGATTGTTTGACCCATGATCTCGAACCTCATGACGCGAGGCATAAGACCTCACGACGTGAGTTATGCCTGATGATCCTAAACCCTAAAAATCAGGTATAAAACAGAATGAGGAGGATAGGGTCGTCCATCCTCAGCCTCCTTCACTCCCAAGTCACTGAAAAACCCTAGATTCGGCCTTGTTGAGCCCTTGAGCCATTGTTGGTGGTATTGGTGTGTTATAGTGGTTGATTTCCTTGAAGAAGAAGAAGAAGAAGCTCTTTTGGAGGTTCCTTTGGACGAGATAAGCTCCTTCTAGTGGCACTTCTAAGCTCATAAGCCTCTGTAAGTCTCAAAGATCCCACCTTTCTCTTCTAATCTGTCTATATCCAGGTTATGGTTACCTTCTTTGCATGGGATCTTGAAGTATCATGCATGAGGTCCATAAAGTTAGCAACTTTATGGACCATTAATTCATTTGCTGTGTTAGAACCCTTGGATCTCGATTTT